AACATTGATATATGTCCCCACTAATAACACAAGCCTAAATCTGCTCCACCATTTTGCTAAGTTGCTAATGCTAATGCTTTAACTTCCATTAACGGAGACACGCTCCGCTCTCTCCTAGCCACTAAATCAACAACATGGGTACAAATTTTACGGTAGATTTAGAGCTGTCTGGCTTTTTCTAACCCAAGCATTTCCCTGTCTCCTCTTTTGGTGGCTTATGCTAAAGATAGGAGTAGAAGAATATTTTCACATTCAACATGCATGTGAAACAGTGTGACCAATCATATTTCAAAAACAACAAGTATTATATGTTTCTCAGTGAACCTCTCCTGTAAAAAATTTCAAGCAGTTCCTAGCAAATTAAGATGCAGCACAGGTTCTACCTGAGCACAAAATTAGGATTCTTTTAATTGGTGTAGAATATTTTGAGGTACGCTTGTTCTGAGTTGAACTGTGGACACTATGGGATGTGGGAGTAGAAAACATAAGAAAATTGCTTTTTTCCGTCCATCCATCCATCCATCCATCCATCCATCCATCCATCCATTTTTGGCCGCTTATCCGGGATCGGGTCATGGGGGAAGCAGCCTAAGCAGGGAGGCCCAGACTTCCCTCTCCCCAGCCACTTGGACCAGGTCTTCTGAGGGAATCCCAAGGCGTTCCCTGACCAGCTGTGAGACATAGTCTTTCCAGCGTGTCCTGGGTCTTCCTTTAGGCATTCTCCTGGTTTGACATACCCGGAAAACTTCACCAGGGAGGTGTCCAGGAGGCATCCTTACCAGATGCCCGAGCCACCTCAACTGGCTCCTCTCGATGTGGAGGGGCAGCAAGTCTACTCCGAGCCCCTCCCAGATGACCGAGCTTCTCACCTTATCTCTAAAGGAAAGCCTAGCCACCCTGCGGAGAAAACTCATTTTGGCCACTTGTACCCGTGATCTCATTCTTTCGGTCACTACTAAAAGCTCGTGACCATAGGTGAGGGTCGGAACGTAGACTGACCAGTAGATCGAAAGCTTTGCTTTTTGGCTCAGCTCTCAGTTCACCATGACAGACCGGTACAATGCTCGCATCACTGCAGATGCAGCACCAATCTGCCTGTCAACTTCACGCTCTATCTTTCTCTCACTTGTGAACAAGACCCCAAGGTACCTCGACCCTGACCTTTACTTTTTTTCATTGTTTCATAATTTTGGGTTACATAAAAACACAATCATGCAGTTATGGAGTGCATCAGGTTCTGCAAATTTATTCTCAGCATTTTAACTTTTTTTCAACGTTTCAACTTTCTCTTCGACACCAAAAATGTTCACTTCTGAGTTGCCCTGACAACTTGTTGAAATTTACAAGGAGCAGTTGAAACCATAAACACTGCAAAATAGCGAATACCTAAAAAAACACTAATAAATACAGTCAATAAAAGTCAATGATCAATTAAAAGAAAGGCACAATGAAAGCTGCTGACATTTAGCTGAAGCACCTCTGATTTTTATTGTACCTGGCAGGGCCAGATGTAGGCATGGGCAAGGAGGGGCAATGCCCCCCTAAAAATAGTGACTGCCCCCCCAAATGCGATGACATGGTAGAAATCCCAAATTTGAAAAGATTTGATGAAAAAGGGTCAGAGTGCTTTCCTCTCTCTCTCCCTCCCTCATTCAAAGTAGCTGCTGATTGGTAGATGCATAGGGAGGGAGTGGCCAGCCGCTGCACTTTGTTCTCTGTGTCTCACTCACTTCACACACTCCCAGACAGCCAGCAGCAGAACTGTTGTTATCTGAGCTCGGACACTGGTTGAAGTTTTCTTCTGCTGTCGGTCACTGGAATTATTTGGTACTCTTTCTCGAGGTTTTAGTCTGCCTCGTTCTCTTCTTTCATTTGTTTTTGAAGTGAACCGAGTCGACATGCACAGGTTTCTGGTTTCTAAACCGAGCAACAGTGCTAAGGCACTAGCGGCAGAAGCCGGCTCGTTGGCTGCTGCTTCTCAACTCACCACAACCAGTTGCACAAGCACCGCAGCCCCTCCTGCTGTCCCCATCGCTACCAACCCAGCCGTCGCTGTGGGTGACACAGGCCTGAACAGTAGCGCACCGTCCCAACCCACCGCTCTTGTTTTCCCCAAGCACCATTTTGGGAAGAACATATTCTCATTTTGCCCTGCCTGGTATCGTGGGAGACCATGGCTGGAATATTCAGTAAAGCTGGATGCGTGCTTTTGTTTCTCATGTCGTAAGTTTGGGGGGAAGGACAATGATAGGCATTTGGTTTTCACAAAACAAGGATTTAATAATTGGAAAACAGCACTGGAAAGGGACAAGGGATTCACAAAGCACGCATCAAGTCAATGCCACATCAAAAATGAAAAAGCTGGTCTGAAATGTCCCAAAGAGTGGCCACAGGGGAAACAATAGGTAATTTAATAAGTCCCACACAAATAAAAAAAAAGATACTACGTAAAAACTTTTGGAGAAGTAGTTCAGTTCCTAGCAGTAACTGAACTAGTGTGGAAAGCTCCAGTGGTGATGATTTCTCTTTAGGACTGTTCTTAAAAATGGTTGACTACACACTGGTCAAAGACTCCAGATTTAATGAAATAAACAAACACATCCCAGAAAATGCAAAATGCACATCTCACAACATACAGAACGAAATTATTGACACACTGGCAAAAATGGTATTAAAGAAGATCAAAGATAATTATGACAAAGCAGATTATACGGGGTTTTGCATTAAAAGTGATGGAACTAGGGACAGATGCAAGGTGGAGGATCAGTCAGTCATGGTTAGATTTGTCTGTAATGGCATTCCAGAAGAACACCTGATCGGTCTGCTTGACCAAAGTCAGTTAAATGCTGAATTTATTACCACCCAAATTCTTGAGCATCTCTCTGACTCAGGCTATAGTGCAGCTGAAATGATCCGTCAGTGCTCTGATGGAGCTTCTGTCATGAGTGGGCTCAGGGGTGAGGTTCAGGCCTTACTGCAGAAGAAGGTAGGGAAGGACATTCCCTATATCCACTGCTAACCACCAGCTGCACTTGGCAGTGGTCCATGCAATGCAAGCAGAGCCATGTGCAAAAACCTTTCTTGATCTTTCAGGATCTCTACACTCATTTTCCCACCGTCATTATGTTTCTCAGAACTATGACGTTCCCTCACTGAAACGACTGTTGGAGATCAGGTGGACAAGCCACCTTGAAGTGATCAAGTGCCTTATGGAGAATCAGGATGCTGTTATAAGTATCCTGTCAGAGGTTACAGAGGACAGAGCTGCTGCTGTTGATATCTGTACAGAGGCTTCAGGACTATTGATGATGTTAAGGAGGCACAATTTCTTTGAAATAGGAAAATTTCTCCTAAAAGTTCTGGGTTCCTTGAAGTCTGCAAATTCTATGCTGCAGTCTCACTCTGTTGACCTGTGCTGTGCTTCAGAAGTAGTCAGTGCATCTCTGCAGGCTTTGAAGCAGATGAGAGATGAGCTACACCAGCTGCTAAAAGACAAAAAACAAGCTCACTGCTAACAGGTAGTGTTGTAATGTCCACTGTGGGCCATGCAGAAGACTCCACAACTCCTAGCCAGGCTCTGAAAAGAGCTCTTCTTAACATTTTGGACATAGTCATTGTAGAGATGGAGACAAGACTCTCCAAAAGCAATCCTGATCTCATGAAAGCAGTTAACTGCCTTCAACATCAGTCTCCCTCTCTTCTGGATTCTGACATGTTAAGTCCTCTACAGAAAATGACAGGAAGTGACAGTGACAAACTTTCCAATGAGATTCTTGTTGCAAAAATAACGTTGGAGAAAGAATTCAAAAAGGCTGATGATGATAACAGTGTAGAGTTTGTAGACCTCTCCACCGTTTGCAAATATCTACATGGGTATAAGAATGCCTTTCCTCAGCTCCATCGCATGTATGTGACCTCCCTTGTGATTGGAATATCAGCAGCATCATGCGAGAGCTCTTTCTCCACTTTGTCTCATGTTCTTACCCCGTTCTGCTGTACTACGCTACATGAGAGAAAAATAATTGTAGTCATTCTGGCTCACGGGAAGGCCATAACAACAGGCCTAGATATGGATGGATTTGTTAGGACTTTTGCACCGAAAAGCAGGCGGCTGATGCTGTAATGACTGATAAAAGCCATGAAGAAATAAAAACAACAACAATTCTACAAAATAAATAAACAAATAATATATAAGTAAAGTAAAAAACAGACGGACGGACGGACGGACGGATGGATGGATGCACCCCCAATAGGGAACAAGCCAGTGTCCCATTTGTGCCGGTCCCAAGCCCGGGTAAATGCAGAGGGTAGTGTAAGGAATGGATCAAAGGAAAAGATAGATATATGGATAGAAGAACTGTAATGATGATAGCATAGTTTTCTATGCATTTTAGGGATTTGGGGGTATGTGACCCCAAAAGAAATTCTACCTGTACCCCTTTGTAGGGCTGGCTAAATCCAGCCCTGGTACCAGAATGTTTCTTTTTTTAAAGTTGGCGTAAAAAGAAGCATCAGAATGATTAATTAAGCTTTAATTGTCAGATAATATTTAGTGAACCTTCTTTCTAGGTAACATATTTGATGTCTAAGAAGAAAGAGTATCTGCCCTTCGGTCACAGCCCTTAGAAGTCCTGATCCATTTCCTCTGGGCCCGATGCTGGCTTTGTTAGAAGTAAAATACAGACAATGTGACATAATGTGCTGAAGAGATAGATCATCAAAAATTGAAGGTGACACTTAGAATTGGCTGGCATTAAGATAAGATTGTTCTTGTTCTCTAGAGAGGGAGTTTAAGGCAGCTTACTTCTATAGGAGGCCATTTTTGTTGTAAATCCCCCCCATTACCTCTCCTTTCCATGAATAACTTAGCTGTCCTTGATAACACAACACTGGGACCAAATCCTCATTCCCCCCTCACTGCTGACCAGTTCTGGCAGATGTATGTTGATTTTTAAAAAGAAAAAAAAAAAGAAAATAGAAGAAAAAAATCCTGAGTGTACCTTTTGTCTTTTCCGGAGAGTGAAGTTCTTCCACAGGAGCAGGGAGAACTGTGTCAGGAGACCCATTACAGCTTATCCTGGCAATATCCAGCCAAAGCGTCACTATGGCAACCGGCCCACTTAATAAACCCTAGAGGGAATAAAAGGCAGAGTTTGGTTTTAATACTGAGAAGCAATGCATCTTGGGGGAGTGCCACTAATCACTCACTTCCATAGGCCTGGGGGGCTTACGGTGTAGCACCTGTTCGAAGAATTATTATCACCTACACTCAGCAAATCTCCGGACGGGCCGTGTCTCAGCATGAGGAGATCACACAGTCTGGCTGCTCTGTGGAAGAATTTTTACAGGAGGCTGTTCGTTTCTTATACCTGCCATATATATTCAAACGTTTTATTTTTCTTCCACAGAGAGCACCTTGCTACGCCGTTGGCTATCTCCTAAGCACTCTCAACTAATCAATCAAATAAACATTTCATGTGAATTACAAACTAATGCAAACTAAGTAGCTAGCTACTTTATCTCAATTATACAGATAATGAACCAATAGGTCTACCGTGCTGTTTTCATGCAGCTACATCAAATGTGACCTTTATTAAAACTCAACTATGAGATTCCACACATTGGCTACCGGTAATTTCTCCAGCTTGAAACACAGTCGCCACATGAAATTTTGCTTCTACTCAACTGTATGCCGATCATGTTAATTCTACATATTAAACCAGGAACTACATGGTAATTTGTGCAACATGAAACTGCATTTTCTATGTCACATTAAAGCTGACTTTACAGATAATAAGTAATTCACTGCACACAACATCCATGTGTTTCGATATTGGATGTATGATTAATATTTATGTCCCATTAAAGAACACCTGAAAATTTAAACCTCATTAGAACGTAATATGTGAAAACAGACTTTTTTAAATATGGTGTTACACGGTTTCAATGGACAAAGTGGGTAAATAATGTTTCTGTAAACTAAAGAGAGCTTATAAATGTTTTGAAAAACTTGTTTAAAGGTGCAATATGTAAGAATGACATGAGGACATCCTGTGGTAAAACCTGGTTACTATAGTCTAATTTTTGAAGCAAAAAATGACTTTCTCACTCCCGTTTTGTGCTATGCTACGCTATGTTATAGTTATGAAAGACTCATTAAAGGAAGTGAAACATCACTATTGACTCATTATTCACTTGTCACATTTTACTGTAATATCAACTTGTTGATAATTGAAAAAGTAGCTTGAGATATTTTTAGAGTCAACTATTTATTTTTAATTCACTGTTAGCATTGTTAGCTCAACGTTAGCCTCTAGCCTGCTTCATCTGATAGAGCAAAATAAAAAGATGGCGTGGCTTCTTACTGAAACAAGAAATACCTTCTGGGTCGCTCCTGTTGACTGGCTTCAGTTCTTTAAAAGTGTGGAACTCTGCAAAACATGTTTTAATGATTGTTTCCTATTGTAATTGGTCACTGGCTTCATTTCTTTAGACAACTCTGAAGTTTTAGGCCTGCTGTGCGTTAATTTGCCAGAGACACGTAGACCTCACAAACTCTCTGATTGAAATCTGTTTCACTGTGACTTTCCTTCGAGATTGACACATTACGCTACGTTCACAGTGCAGGCAAAAGCCCTGCTTCTTACCTGATTACCACTGGAGTTAGACACCAGCTCCCTGCGGCCCCACCAAGTATAAAGTCGTAAAGGTTTTAAATGAATGTAAGTAATCATTAGATATGCATCTGTTGCTGATTGGCTTTTGAAGCCATGCCACTAAAGATGGCCACTACATCTAAGCCACCAAAAATATGGTTATAACTTTATAGAAATTAAGCTAAAGTTTTGCTGTTGTAGCTAAGACTCAACATAGACCATTTGCTGTCCAATTTTACAAAATCTGCCAAGTGGTGTGAGATTCCACATAGCAGCAGAGCCAATGAGTGATTTTGTTTATAATTTAACGTGTCAAACTGTCTGTGTGTGTCCAAGTATGGGTTGAGAGTTTTTTGCCGTTAAGTTTTATTTTGTTAATCTTTGTATGTTTTTTATTTAATAGAGAGTTGGGCAAATGCCTGAAATGGTGCCCGAGCCACCTCAACTGGCTCCTCTCGATGTGGAGGAGCAGTGGGTCTACTCCAAGCCCCTCCCGGATGAACGAGCATCTCACCCTATCTCTAAGGAAGAGCCCAGATGGCCTGCAGAGAAAACTCATGTTGGATGCTTACAATTGCAAAGATTGCTGGAGATAGACACCAGCCACCCCTCACACGCCCCTGCAAGGACAAACGGGTATGGATGGATACTTTTCCTCACTTGGAGGTTTGTTTTTTAGCTTCAAAAACGTATTTACCCGTCTGAGTTCAAAACTTCTATAAGAGCAAGACGAGGTGACCCAGGCATGCAGAATTTACATCCAAGTAGAAAGCCTGACAACTCTTACATTTTAAAGTTCCATATCTTTTTCTGTATAATCGCAGTCGTTATTTATTGCTCCTTCACAGTGATTTAATGGCACAAGAGAAAATTATTTTTCACTTCCAAACGTCCCAAGCAAGTTTTCCAATTAACTAAAGAGTTTTATCGATGAGGGTCATGCAATAATCAATACAACGCTGATAAAATGTCTCCACAGCACAGTTTCTAGACCGACGTTTCGTTTTGCTTGCACTGCCAGATGTATTGTTGTAAACGCCAACTGAACTGAATTATTCCTTCACTACTGTTTTCCAAACCATATTTCTGACATTTACCAGAGCCCGGGGATGAACAAATTTCCTTTCTCCACCTTCAGAATAGTTTCGCTTGTAGTGTTTATGATCTCCTTGTGCCTTCAGTCCATCCTCTGCTTTCTTCTTCTTTTTAAAAGGAGATAGTTATGGAGCTGTACAAGGCAGAAACAGCCTGGGTCATTAAGCCCCGGCTCAGTACATGCATGAACGCTCGACTCCATCAAACTTCTGTATAATTGACTGTGCTGCTTTTGATTGCACAGCTTTCATGGCCCATCTTTTAGAAACACAAGAAAGAAGCAGCCGGGTACCACCTCCACTCTGAAATCACGTCAGCCATGAAGGGTAAACAACGTCTCCAAGAATATTCTCAAGCCACGTGTCAAAGACTGCGTGTGCATGTGTCGGTTGCATCGAAATCTTCAAAAAGGAGACTTGTGTCCAACTTATGATGGGTGTGTGGGTGAGGGTTGAAAGAAAAACCTAGCTTAAGGACTTTCCATTTCCCTGTTGTACAGCTAAAGTAGTGATAATATGAAACAAAAAGACTATTATTGAGTTTTGAATTGAAAACAACTCTCTGGAGGACAAAAAAAACTACACATTGGGAAGTTTTCTTCTAATTCATTTTAATCTGTAACTTGAAGCACAGAGAATAATTGAAATAAGGTCTTTTTGCCACTTCTTGAATTAGGTTTTTTTTTTCTCAGAGACTTTGGCCATTAGGCTCAGCTCTTCACTGTATCATTAGTTCCAAAGAAAGCTCAGCGAAAATGAAGGGAGAGAGGGAGAGAATGCTGCTGTTAAAAAGGAGAAAACCAACTACTGAGAAAATACAAGTGGTGATGTATGCCTGGCATTTGGAGAAAGAGGACAGAGGAGTGCATTATTTCAGCCTCTAGGATAATCGAAAAAGAAAACAGATATTTGTCATGTGGCATGAGAGCAGAGGACAGCAGAGAATGACAGCAAACATTACTTATGAGATGGGTCACCATGGCCCTCTGAAGGGTATAATGGTCCCTGTGCTACTTTGTTCAGTTTGTTGTTGTTTTACCGCTTTATTTTGATCTTAAGCTTTCTTTGGCTGCATGCACAAAGAAACAAGGTGTCTATTCGTTGCATAATAGTCTACTTTTGGACACATGACAGACAGACAGACAGACAGACAGACAGACAGACAGACAGACAGACAGACAGACAGACAGACAGACAGACAGACAGACAGACAGACAGACAGACAGACAGACAGACAGACAGACAGACAGACAGACAGACAGACAGATAGATAGATAGATAGATAGATAGATAGATAGATAGATAGATAGATAGATAGATAGATAGATAGATAGATAGATAGATAGATAGATAGATAGATAGATAGATAGATAGATAGATAGATAGATAGATAGCATTTAAATGCCATTTGAATGTCCATAATCTTGCAGAGCTGACTGGCTTGGCATTATATTAAAAGGCTAGGAGACATCCTCCAGGACTGTTCTATAGAGAGCCCAACCCCTTCTTTCCACCGCAGCCGTCAGCAGCACGTTACTGCAGCAGCACGTCTTGCTCGCGTAAGCTGCTGCTTGGCCCTTCCCACGAGACGCAAAGCAGCAGGGGAGCAGCTGTCACTGACCGAGCACGAAGTCACACGAGTGACTTCGTCAGTAAACACAACAACAAGCAGGAGAAAACTACAACATGGTTTGTGTTTTATGTTCTGTCCGTTTTATAATCGCCAATACGGACCTGAAAAACAAAGGAGACCGCTAGCTAGGTGATAACTTCTCACGGGGCCGCACAGTTAGTAACCTTTTTTAAAAGTAAAGCAACCGGAAGGCAGTACGTTTCTTTATTCTGAAAATCTTGCGAGCTTTGCTCAATTTCCGCGTCCGATTTCCTGTCTTTCCTTCCCCAAAAATGTCAAACTTGACCCGTTTCAGAGGCGTAGCGCTTAGAAAATAGAACCGGCGTGTAAGGGCTGCGACATGCTGCTCCTGAGACGCGGCCGACTCGCGCTGCTGGCGGCTGCTGATGGCTCCGGTGGAAAAGGCAGGGGCGGCGTTAGGCCCGGCTACTTGGGCTCAAGCCCCGAATCCTTAATGAAAAGCCCCAGATCTCAAACGTGGAAGTAACATGCAGTACCAAAGTCCAACAGAGAGGGAGCAGCTAGCAGTAGTTTGTATACAGCCTGCCTGAGCCTCCACCACTGAAGAAGAAGCCCTTCAGCAGCCGGCTTCTTCTGCAGTGCCTGGTTTCTTCTACACTCTGCCTGAAGCGCATGAGTGAAGATGGACAAAAGGACGTTTTTTAGACAAAAAGTACGGCGACAGAACCCCAGCTTTGATGAGACTGGTGCTGACTCAGGTTTGTGAGTCTTATTTGAAAATATTTGTTGTGCTGCTGGTTTGCCTAAAGTTAGCTTACTATCAGGTAATGTTGTTGGAGAAAGAAAGGGAATATTTACTATCATCTCACACTAAACACTAACAGGATCAATACTCTGCCCTGAAAATGCTTAATATGTAGCTTCAGATTAAAATTATGTGGTACAAGACAAATATATATGATGTTGACTAGTGCGTGTCACGTGTGTGTGTGTGTGTGTGCGCGCGCGCGTGTGTGTGTGTGCACGTGTGTGTGTGTGCACGTGTGTGTGTGTGATGAACCTCTAAAGAATTCTTGCAGGTAAGCTAACTGCATTTAAATACTTTTCAGAGACTACACCACGCCTACAAATGTGCACTTACAGATAACTATAATCATATTAAGTTTTCCCATGTCAACAAATCATAATATATATGTGCTAAGGCCCACATTTTCCTGTTTTCTTAATAAAAAGGATAAAGTACCGAATTTTGTCTGGTAATCTATCAACTGTACGTCCTTCAGCTATTCAGCGCTGTGGGCCACATGAACCTCAGAGTTTCTACAGCGTAATCACCGGCCTGTGGCAGCTGAGAGAATCTCCTTTGTATTTCTGCGTTTGCCTTTGCTGCAGTGCTGCACCTTGAGCTATAAGCCCCCTGCTCTCCCTCAGGCGAGTCTCCTGCCTCTGCATGCACCAGCTCTGCCAAGCTGTCAGAAAAAGAGAGTTTACTGACCCCAAGATGCAACTTAATTTTCCTTTAGAGCCACAAACTGAACTCTCAGCAATAAAACGCTCCTATGATTTAGCACGTTATTTTTATTTTTATTTTTTTTTTTTTGCATAAAGTTCATGGCCATACATAGGATTGTAAACTTATAAAATCTAGACTTTTAAAGTCTTAATGCAGTCAGAGCAATGCTTGGTCTTGTGAATTCTGCTCCCATTTTCACCAGCCTTGAGAATTTCTATTTCTATTTGAGCAACAACAGTCTAAATGCTATGAAATCAACACATATTTGACCTTTTTTAAATTGTACACTCATCCTACTGCTGAAATTATTGTATTGTTCTAAATTATATTCACAACTTGACAAAATAAGGATGTACAGACTAAAATCTGTTAGCAGTCATGGAACAAAGAGTGCTGTTAAACACGTATTCATTTACTCAACAGACATAAATCATGAACCCATAATTCCTTTTTTGGGTTGAGAACTGCGTCATGTCTTCGAGGACAATATGCCACAATAATGTTGCTGCACCCTGGTGTTACCGAGCCTCACAAGTATTATACTGATGTTAGTGTGGAAAACAAAGAACTTACTCAATGAAGTCATTTTTTCCCCTTTTTCTAGTGAATGGTGAAAAAGCTTTGTGAAGAACATGTTGAAAATAAAGATCTTGTTTTGCTGCTTTTCAATTTTAATTCTCAATAAAGAATGTACCAAACCAGCCTACCTTATTGACCGATGTTGGCAAATCTCAAATTTTAGAAAATATTTTCTTCTGTCTTTACAAGTTATACATCGCTAGAACACCAAATGCTGGTAACATTGATCACAGCAATGCCACGAAAACAAACAACCTGAAGTGCCGCTCGGCGTATCCGGTTTGTCTCGGCCTCATCAATCCCTCCCTCCCTGCTACCACTGTAACACTTTCAAAACCAGGGGAAAGCATATATATATATATATATATATATATATATATATATATATATATATATATAATTTCTTTATTTATTTATTTATTTATTTGCTTGTGGTTGTACGGTTGGTTTTTCCATCAACCCATGAACAATTTCCATGCCACATAGTAAGCTGCCATTATAAATTCACTGTACATTTACAACAGGCCATTGCACTGTAAGACAGTTGCTACCGGTAATTAGTTTTAATTTTTTATTTAGTTATGAATTTTTTTTTTTTTACCAATTTCTAATCTCTGAAAATGGTGCTATGTGAGACAAAACTGTCAATCACTCCACGCCACTAATCACTCCTTCATTAGAAACAAATCAAAGTGATGAATCCAAAATTACTGGATCAATTCTGCCACTTAGTTAGTCATTAACGCCTGTCATTCAGGACCATTTGTTTGCATGTAGGTAATGCAGTCCAAAGGTACTTTTTTTACAAGCCTTTTTTCAGACGAAGTAGTAAAAGGCCAGGGTAAATGATCTGCATGGGAAATGTGTTACTCAAAGGGGTTACAGTTCACAGTGATTCAGCAAATAAACTGTTCAAATATGAATAATGTTTCAAATTTCCTTATTCTTCAGAAACTTTTTCCTCTGTGGTCCTTTTATTTTAAAGAAACATTTGCCTTAATATCAGTTTGTGTCATTTTGATTCCCTTAAACGAGACAAACACTTCTGAAGGCAGTCAATTTAATCCACTCTAGTCTAGACAACAACAATAATGTGTGTGCGGCTACTTAGAGCCTGACTCTGAGCTCCCCTCAGGAGTAGACAAGGCTACAAAAACAACAACAGAGTAAAGAGCATCGCAGGAGGCCTGGCTGCAGAAAACACGCGTCCGGTTAGAGCAAACAAACTGTCAAAAACAACCTACCTCCGAGCTGTGTGGGCTCCACCCGTCAGCACATCTTTTGGGCCTGTTTGGACGATTCAGAGAAAGTTTACCTGCCGGTCCTTGTGACCCATACAACACAGGCTGCTATCTTCCCTCACTGCCGTTCTCATCTTTTGCCTAGAGTCATAAACTATGCAAATGACCTCTGCTGAGCCGATCCTGGTGACTGTAACCACAGGAAGCACACAGGTGGTGTACATTACACAGTATGTCTCCCCAAAGCTTCGCTCTGTATTAGAGATCATTTGGCAGCTTGGTGTTGTCTAACTCAATGAAGCAAAAAGGGTAAAGAGAAGCAGCTCTCTGTGTTACACTGGCTTTGTTTCGACATTCTTAGGTAGTGAAACATTCTCTTATGGGTGAACTCAGGATAATCTGTTGACTTATTCTTATTAGTCTGAAAAGAAATGTTTTACTTGTTTTGTCAAAGTAAAAAACGTAAGTCAAAAGCAGGCGGGATGGTGAGAAACACGTTTACTGAGAGACAAGGCCAAGATGCAAATGTCGACGATGTTGTTGATGTTCCACTGAATGTGGGGGAGGTCTGCTAAGTGCATTGACTGTACGGTTTTACAGCAACCATATAATCTGGTAACAAGGGGGCTAAGAGTTTATTATTCTGAGTGATAAAGAATAATACCAAAGGTGCACTGGGAGGATGTAAATATGTAGATGAGATGGGTGTTTACTGATGTGGCAGACGGTGGAATACACTGGTCATCCTCACACTAAATAATGTCTTTGATGGTTTTAAACATCAGCCCTATCATGGCAATGTTTGTCCATAGATGAGTCATTTGTTCAACCCATAGTGGATTAAAATGGCTCATGGTGTTCCATTTCTCTCAGCCAAAAATGGACATCTCCCCGTGTCGTGATCCAGATCGTATAGTCTCTCTTGTATTATGAAATATGTCATATTACGATGCATATAGTGAAAGTTTGGGCAGTCTTGTTGATCTTCATTATTTTCTTGTATAAACTGTTGGTTGTTTGTAATGACAAAAAATTCAGTTAAATATATCACATAGGAGACACGCAGTGATATTTGAGAAGTGAAAGGAAGTGTATAGGATTTACAGAAAGTGTGCAATAATTGTTTATATAAAATTATGCAGGTGTGTAAATTTGGGCACAACAAAACAGAAATGAACTCAATATTTAGTAGATCCTCCAATTGCAGAAATAACCTCTAAACACTTCCTATAGCTTCCAATGAGAGTCTGGATCCTGGCTGAAGGTATTCTGGACCATTCTTCTTTACAAAACATCTCTAGTTCATTCATGTTTGATGGCATCTGAGCATGGACAGCTCTCTCTAACTCACACCACAGTTCTTCAATAATATTCAGGTCTGGGGACTGAGATGTTCATTCCAGAACGTTCTACTTGTTCCTCTGCATGAATGCCTTAGTAGATGTTGAGCAGTGTTTAGGGTCGTTGTCTTGTTGAACGATCCAGCCCCAGTGCAGCTTCCGCTGTGTCACTGATTCCTGGACATTGGTCTCCAGAATCTGCTGATATTGATTGGGATCCATGCATCCCTCAACTTTAACAAGATTCCCAGTCCCTGCACTGGTCACACAGCCCACAGCATGATGGAACCACCACCATGTTTAACTGTAGGTAGCAGGTGTTCTTGGAATGCCGTGTTCTTTTTCCTCCTTGCATAACGCCCCTTGTTATGCCCAAATAACTCAGTTTTAGTTTCATCAGTCCACAACACCTCGATTCCTAAATTACCTGTATTTGATATAGTGCCTTCTACAGTCCTGGAACTCACGAAGGTGCTTTACAACACAATCAGTGTAGAGGGTAAATATTGTTGCTTTTAAGCTTAATATATTACCTTTACTTATGACCAATTAGATGTGATATTCTATATAAATATAGAATATCAACTTGCTTGGTCTTTGGATGTTTAATCAGAAGATTCTAGGATTCTTTGCTTTTTCAGGGATCAAACACACTTCGTATCAATTTATTTTCTAAACAATTAAAAACATGACAACTAGGGAACACTTTATGTGATGACTGGATCTATTGGGCCATTCCCATCTGTGCCGGGTCGGCCCGGGCCGGGTAGCCCCAGTCGGCCCCAGCCTGGCCCGGTTGATTCCACACATCCTTGCCTTAAGTCCATGTGGGCTGATTCTACCCACCAATCAGAGGCTTGCTCTAATGGAAGGTGTGAATTTGCTGTCAGCAGTGGGTGTGTTGGCCCTGGTCGGCCTGAAGCAGACCCCCTCGAGAAGAGGGCTGAGAATGAGCCTTGGTTGGCCCGGAAAAATACCAGGCCACCCAGATATGTAAACAACCTACGCTACCCGGCCCGGGCCGACCCGGTACAGATGGGAATGGCCCATAAGTGGATGGAATGTGAGGTGTGATTATGTGTGAATGTGATGTTATCACAACCTTCGTATCTAGAAGAAAGTGAGTTCTGGGTGTTCAAAGAATTTTGGTCTGTAGAAACTAGAAGGTTGATTCTTATCAAAACCACATCAGACGCAACTCATGCTGTGTCTACCTCACCCTTTCTTTGGAGACCCTCTTCGCAGATCTGGAGGTCAGGGAGGTCGGATGACCTCTGGGCACCAAGGTTCAGTAAATTAACCGCAGCACCGGCACTCCAGTCCAGAGATGTCACCCGAGTCACAACAGATAGATAAAATCATTTGCGTCTAGAAGGACTCTGAGGGAGTTGGAACTGTATCAGCTTAGTTCTGCAGGAACTGTTTTGCTGTGTCGGCTGTAGGCAGCTTTTAGCTTGTCAACAGCTTGTCAAGAGATGCGGTGTGAGCAGAGTTTCCCTCCGATGGCCAGTCAGAGTTAGCTCAACTAACAGAATGCTGAATCTCACAGAATGCTGGAATGCTGATTCACTCTGAAAGTGATCCTGTTTTAATATTCTCATTTTATGATTTACTTGGCCAATCGGGACATGCCATGCTAGGAGGTGTTAACAACAAACCTCAGAACATCACGCCTTCTTTCATATACAGGATGCTCTGATTTGTGGGTAAGAAATTATCTATGTGCAGTGGCGTTAACTTTAATTTATATCTTATGAACATTGTGTATGAGTGTAGATAATGGTTCACTTGTTAAATCAAACATTACTGATCATAATATCATAATGTTTCATTGTAATAATAATTCACTTCAACCACAGTAATTGAAGCACATATTAATCAAAACAATTCATTAGTATTCATATAACATTTGTTCATTCAACCATGTTATTATTTAATGATTATTTAAATTATGAGTTGTAAAAGTTCATGAGAGTTAGCAATCCTGCAGTGTTATCAAAAGAAGGCTTTGTTTTGGAATACAGGCTGACATCTTGTTCCTCCTGAAATGTCAACAAGGTTTGCCACACCTTGCAGCTTGTTGGAAGACAGAATGTAAAATCCACCTTAGAGGGTGGAATTAGATCTGTAGATGACCGGTGGCATGTAGGTCAATCTGTAGGTGAAAACTGACCATTCCTGGATGTTGCATCAGTCATGCACCCATTCACACAAACACACATTCACACCCTGGTGGTGATGAGCTATATTGTAGCCACAGCTGCCCTGGGGCACACTGACAGAAGTGAGTTTGCCATTTACAGGAACCACCGGTCCCTCCGAACTCCACCACCAGACAAGGACACAACAACAGCTGAGTGGGTTCGAACCTGCAACCTTCCGATTACGAGGTGAGCACTTAACGCCTGTGCCACTGTGGCCTGTAAAATGAAGCTGGCTTGTCCAAATGTGCTTTACCATACCTCAAGCTGCTGTGTTTGTGCTGTGGGAGGAGAAAATGTTTCCTCTGCATCTCTCTCGCATGCAGCATCTCCTTGTGTAAAGTGCACTGAATAGTTGAACGATGCACAGTGAGTCCATCTGCAGCAAGATGATGTTGTAGGTCTTTGGTGCCAATCTGTGGGTTGACTCTGACTGTTCTCACCATTCTTCACTTCTGTTCATCCCAGATTTTTCTTGGTCTACCACTTGGAGCCTTAACTAGAACTGTGCCTGTGGTCTTCCATTTCCTCAGTATGTTCAGCTGACATCTGAGACAGCTTTCTGTGTCCTTCCACCACGATGGTGAACAATCTTTGATTTCTGCTCATGTGAGAGTTGTTATGAGACCTCCATGTTGCTACTCTTCAGAGAATATTCAAAGAGGAGGGAATTAGGGAATTACAATACAATTGGACACGTTAAATGCTCTCTCTCATAATTGGATTCACCTGTGTATGGCAGTCAAGGGTCACTGAGCTTACCAAACCAATTATGAGTTCCAATAATTAGTTCTAAAAGTTTTAGAATCAATAAAATGACAACTGTGCCCATTTGCCATTGGGGGATTCTTCACTGTGAGATACTGAAGGTGTGGCATCAGAGTGTGTATCTCACGCTCAGTGTGTGAGAGTTGGGAGTCCTGAAACTTCATTTCAATTCTCAAACACCACTTCTCGTGTCTCCTATGTGATATATTTAACTGAAATGTTTTATTTTTAACGGAAAATCATGAAGATATATTGTATCGTGTTCTCTGCATTGCGATACAAATATCGTATCACACCCCCCGTATTGTGAAATATATCCTCCCTTGTATTGTGATACATATCAAATCGTCTCCCTGTGTTTTGAAATATATTGTATCATATTTCCTATGTTATGATACATATCATATTGTCTGCCCTGTCTTGTGATATACATTGTGTCGCCCGATTCTTGCCAATTCAACACCTCTAGTGTCAAATAAATTATTAAAATACTTTTGAAGAACTTGAGGCTTTTTAATTCATCTTCACTTTTTTTAAAATCTGGTAAATAAAGTTCAAAATCCAAAAGCAAACCAACAGGGATGAAATGTTTTTCATGACTGTGATCAAACTCATGTCTTTAATGGGTTTTCAAACTCCAGAAAACTTTTCTGCCCCTTGCAATCATTCAAGGGTCAATGTGACTTGTTCTTTGAGTTGTCGGTCCACACTCTCAATTAGTTACACACATTCAAGCTCATGAAACCCAGGTGAAACACTGGCCGCCCAAAAGTAATTGCTTCGCCTAATGAAGTGCTGCTGCTCGAAGGTCCCGCCGCTGTAGAGGACGCCTGCAGTTCCCAGGT